CAGCACTCTTGGAGTGCAGTGCAGGGCCCACAGCACTCTTGGAGGGCAGTGCAGGGCCCACAGCACTCTTGGAGGGCAGTGCAGGGCTCACAGCACTCTTGGAGGGCAGTGCAGGGCAGTGCAAGGCAGTGCAGGGCCCTCAGCACTCTTGGAAGGCAGTGCAGGCCAGTGCCCTCGGAGTGCCTGGCAACTTCTTAATAACACTAACCATTAGAGTAGAATTTAAACATAATGAGTCTTTCCTTTTAAAGTTATATTTATGAATTCCACAAAACACAGGGCATAGGTGTAAATATATAGCCAACAGAATACATAAATCATATATATTTTATATTATTCTAATGTGGTAGGTAATGTGAAAGCTTTGCCTATGAAATTAAAAAAAGAATACCTTTGGACTTCTGACTAAATCTTAAAGGCTGATTGCTGTCAAGTTCTCAGATAACATCTACTCTGACCTATATAACCATCAAAAGCATAAATTCTGGGATTTAAGAACACTGGAAACAAAAACATCTAAATCTAGTAATTCATTTGCAATGTATCTTCTAGTTACTCACTCTCCTCCACTAAGAGGCACTGAAAACACCAATTAGTATTTATAGTCAACTCAACTAGATACTGGCTACTCAGCTGACTTTAAGGAACCTGTAGTATGATACATCTCTGTGGATGGATATATAGATATTCCATATTTGGAATATATGTTATAGAGGGGGTTCTTTACACACATACACACACACACACACACACACACTTGTGGGCTGTAAATATAGACTATATAATAAAAATGGGAAAGGTAGCAGCTTTTAGCTATTCCCCTTAGGCAGCCTGTGAGATTATTTTACAAAGATCTATTTATTATGTAATATAACAGCTTATACCTTTATACCTCTGGAGCCAGTTAACACATTGTATAAAGTCAGATTAGCCTCACACCACAGTGTCTCTGAGCAGATTTCTTCCTTCTCACTTTAATTATTCAGAAATTGAAATACTTTGTCTCTACTACTGGTAGCAACTAAGCTCTTCAGATTTCAAAGAAGCGCCTGAAGTCCAGTTAGCACAGTCCAAGTTACTCATTAGCAATATGTTTTCCTTAGGAAGAAAAAAGGTCCTTTCAGGAGACTTCCACAGCTAGTTACCAAGTGCTGTGGTTCTATGCATTTACAAGTGAATGGATGCAGTCCAAATTACACAGAGCACATCCTCTCCCCACTCCCTCAACATTCTGAAAACCTTCCTTTGTGTGTCTGCTACTTACAAATACCTATCGGCCCAGATGAGCTATTCAGGGTGCTTACAAACTAAAACACTTGTTTATCTTGGAAGCAAAAGAAAAGCCGCTGGCATCCAAGACTTTACCTTACCTTTGTCATAGTTGTGTCATCCTTCTTGGGTGTAAAGTTTCCAAAAAATCTGAGGCTATAGAAACCAACAACAGAAGACACCATGAGATAGCTGTGAGAATGAAGGAAAACTCTCCGAGAGAATGCACACTTCCCAAAGTCTAAAGTCCGTAGGAAAAGCAAAGCCAAACAAACAGCCACTTAGGCTTGCAGAGGACTGACCGCCTTGTTCCTCTTTCCAGACAAACGTCTTAGTAAATTACCATTGTCCCAGAAACTAGACAGAGAACTTGTTAACAGACATAACATTCAGCTGAAGAAAGGATACAAAATCAGAATGATTTCAAGTGCAGCTCCCACAAAGCCAAAAGTGGAGAGAGAGGCGCTTCCTATGCCAGGGCCCTGCAGGGAAGACACTCCTCAGAATCCAGTGATGCCATTACACAAGGCAATTGAATTAGGAACATTTAACACCTTAAGATAGCACGAATCCTTCAAAGGCTAACTGACTTCTTCACATACTCAACAGCATGTTATTAATTTTAACAAGTTCAAAAATAACCTGGTTTCCCTCAAATGTACTTTTAAGTTATTTGACAAAATGATATCATTATGATTATTGCTATAAAATTGAACAATCTACTATCTGGGGATTTTTTTTATGTTTTATTTTCCTTTCTTTTTTTTTTCAACTTTTTACTGATTATTTGTGAATTTCATAGTATGCCCCACTATCCCTCTCATCTCCCCAAACCTCCCAGCCCCCGCAAAAAAAAAAAAAAAACTAAAACTAAAATCTCACTATGAAAGCTGAGGCGTGCTACAGCGTGTCACACAGTATACCCTTTTGGCCAAAGAGCTTTTCATGCAAATGCTCATTGCTCATTGCAGTAAGTTATTGGACTGGTTTGAGGCCTCTGGCTTCTGCTACACTGTCAATGCTGGATCCTCACTGGGGCTGCTCTCAGAGAGCTTGCTGTTGTTGCCCTGTGTCGTGGAGGTTCTGAAGCTTTGTTATTGCAGGTCTGGCCGCTTCATGAGTTCCAACAGTTCACAGATGAGGTAGATGTTGGGGTAGGCTAACCCTAGATCTGGACCTGGGTGGTAGCTAAGTTGGTCAGCTTACAGCTCTCCAGCACTCCCCACGCAAGGGTCAGGGCCCACTTTCCTGAGTTCTGCAACTGGTAAGGGGGCAGGGCCAGCTGGCCTACACTCAGGCTCTCATGCCCTGTAGGCCAGCTCTCCCCTGCTGCACAGGCTAGGGGCAGGGCCAGTTCTCACAAGATCATACCCTGGGGGATAGCTCACCTGTGCCCCCACCACCTAGCTAGTTCTACTGAGCTGCCCCCTTGCCAGTTGTAAGGTGCTGCTCTCTGAGGAGGTCTTTTTGTTTTAGTTCTTTTAAAACAGAATAATATATAATCAATATAGAATCAACACATAAAAAATATACTATAAAGCTTGCCAAACTTAAGATATATTTACAAACAAAGCAATGAATATCCAATTCCCTTTTCCCAAATTTTCCTAGATAATTCAGTTACAAAAGTGTGACTGGTAGTACTTTTTAAAAAAAGTAATTTTAACAAAATAGAAAGTAATACGTACTTTTTTATAAATATTATCCTAATCTCGAGACCTACCTTTACTTAGACAAAACAGAACAAATAATGTTCAGATACTGATAACTGACAGCAAACATCAGTCCATTAAAGTAGAAACAATATTTTCAAAGCTTACTGCTAGAGATTAAAGGATAATCTCTAAATACACATCACCATCCCCCAGTTGTCTTAAATTACAACAGCAGAGATAAAGCAAAACATAGTCAGCCTAATAGAATGGAAAACAATCGCTAATATCACACACATTACATATGTAGTCTAATTCGGACATAAAAGAGTAAGAATAACCCACAACAATTCCAGACATGAGTAAAGTGGGACTTGCCAACCTTTGCTACTTAAGAGAACATGGACGATACCCAAGGGCAAGTGGTCAGGTTTTAAATTTAATTTAATTCAATTCAATCCCAAATTAGCACCTTTTTATGGGGCTGAGCCTCCTTCTCCCTATAGGCAGGACCCAGGAGCAGTGGAGCGTAGGGTTCAAGAGCAGTGCACCACACCATCTTGGTCTAGCACATCCCTCACTCTTCTCAACAAATGGAAGCTAAGCTTTCATACTTTTTATATTAAATAATTTCATCCACTTTTCTCTCATTAGTCTGTCTTTTGCTACTAGGGCCTCTATCATGAACCTGAGCTAGGTAAGAAAAGATCCTACTTTCCTCCCCTACAAAGGGATACTGGCAAGACAGAAAAACGTGTTCTGGAATATTCACTGTCTCAAAAGCAATGACAGGAGGATTAAGAGGCGCTCACACATTTCCACAAGCATGCAGGGAGCCTGGAAGCACAAGTCACCGGACTGTGCAGTAAGGGGATGGCACAGAGTGCACCCTGCTCTTCTGCTACATTACAGTGGAGGGAGAGGCAGCACCAGTCACAGGAGCAGCTTCCTGATCTGGGACTACAATAAAGGAAAAAGGCAAAGCCAGTACTACAGAGGAGCAGCATCCTGTGTACGAGGCCTCCAGTGAGAGCTGAGGGCACGAGGGTGAGTAAGGTGGAGGAGCTCTCACACATGCTGCTGCTTATGAACGTCACAAAAATGGCTGAAGAAATTCAAAGCAGGGTTTCTTCGTCTCAGGTGGATGGAAAGGAATTAAGACAGAGACTGACAACATCTGCCTTAGAGAGAAACATGACAGAGTAAGTCAGGAGGGTTTTAATGTCACCACTGTGAGGATTGGAAAGCTGCTGACTTAGGAAAACAAAATGAATTTCAAAATGTAAAGCAAATACCCACTTTACATATTCAAAGGCAGCGAGGTTTGGTGGCCCACATCTGGTACTCAGGAGGCAGGAGCAGGAGGGTAAGAAGTGCAAGGTCATTTGGGCTCCATAAGGAGTCTGAGGCCAGGCTGAGTGACATGTAATCCTGTCCCAAAACATGTGTTTACACCTGCACATGAGTGTGTACACGTATGTGTGTGTGTGCCTGTGCACCAACAGCAGATGAGGGATGTTTTCCAAACTTTATGGGTACCTAGAAAAGTGTTGCAAGGTAAATATGGTGGCACAAAACTCAGCACTTAGGAGGCAAGAACACTGCAAAAGACAAAAGGCTGTATGTCAAGAGTAAGTATGTAATGATAAGCATCTTCCTAACATATAGTTAAAATAGGGTAACTGCCAGACTCTAATAAAATCATCAACTTTTTTTGTTTGGGATTGTCTTTGAGACGGTCTTAACATGTAGCCCAGGCTGGTCTTGAACTCAAACTCACAACATTCAGTCCCTTAGGTGCCAGAATTGTATGCATATGCCACCATGACCAGCAGAATCACCAATCTCTAAAGCAGATAAAAGTTAACTCATGAAGACGTTTATCTGAACTCTCCTTTAACAGCCGCAGTTTAAGTCAGATGTGTGATACTTCTGACATACAAGTCCCTCTACTTTTCCAACATACTTTGTCAAGTCTAGCTCAATCAGTATTTTAGAACATGCATTTTCTTTAAAGAATTACAAATAAAAATTTCAGTAAAAATCAACATCAAGTCTGACACAGAAGTCTATAAATAACTCAGATACTTGAAAGAAATGCCCTAGAGACAAAAGCACACACACACACACACACACATATATATATATATATATCATACATACATACATTATATATATTATGTATATATTCTTATGAACGAACATGTTTGTAAAAGCTTTTTATTCAGAGAAGTTCATAGGGCTTGAACTGCTTACATCCAGAAAGATGTTTCCATGAGCTTATACAAAATATTCAGACACACACCGAGAAAGACTTTTGAATGCATTTAACTTTACCCTTGTTCCCTTTGGCATTGCAGACTCATCAACCAGCAGGCAAAGAATGTTGCACGCCACCAGGAGAACTGAAATGGACTGCAACAGAAAGGGTACTGTCAGGTCTCAATTTCAAACACGACTTTTGACAATACACACAACGTGTCTTTCAGAATGGGGGATGGTCCTATAATGAGTGTATACTCTATACAGTATATATAAGAACTCCCAAGACAAATTGACAAATTCCAAACATTCTACAAATTATAATTTCAAGGCTCATGATAGAAGATAACAATGTGAATGTGTTTACTTTGTAGACGTCTCAGTGAGAGACCTATAGCTTCACATACCCTACTAGGGTGAGCTTTACCATAGCTCATCATAGAAAGGAATGCACTCCTGAAGATTTTGGAGCAGCAGCCTTGCTTTGTGTTTTCCTAATTCTACTCAAGCAAAGCTTGAAGTTCCTGCTGTATGAGGACGACTTATGACAACTTGTCATTCATTTCCATTTTTGCTCTGCTGAATTTTTACAAATTGAGATACAGATGGATTTTGATTCTGTTAACAGAAACACAATTCCCTGGGAACAGCTTGGCTAAGGGAAACACAAAAGACAATACACTGTACTCAAGCTTGCAAACAGCTTCTTACTGTTTCAATGAGAAGTAGAACCATAACAGCAGGATACACCAAATTTCTCTCCCATACTGAAGCCTTTTTTCGCCTCTCTATTAGAAAGAAAACAAAATAAAATAAAAATTTCAGCAATTTCCAAAAATTTTTCCAGGTTCATATTTTCATATGCCAGTGTATATTTCAACCAGCAAACATTATTTTTTGCTTTCTGAAAAAAAATGTAAACTGTAAGATAAACTTTTTAATTATCTTCTACAAACTATAAAAATCCATTTAAAATCAGCTTACAACATTAAAAGCTCAATCCCATGAGGCTTAAATTTCAGCTCGGTAAAGACAATTTTGCTTTTAAAGAAATATATCATTAATAAATAGTTCACTTTTAGGATAAGAATATGGACATTTGATATACATGTATATACTGATATAGGAAGATATTTGAGTGGATAAAGGAGTGCGAATAATAATTCCTTCTAGTTTCAGGTCCCAAGGCTTAACGAACACTTTGTTTTCCAAAGACTATAAAGGAATTTAACTTCTAGCTGAAACAAACTACTTTGTACCACACTCTCCCTGTGCCATGAACACCAGGGAAGAAAATTTAAACTTCAAAACAGTCTCCAGATACATTAAAACAACGTGACAAGGAAAGGCTGGCATTGTGTAACGTGATGGAGGCGGTTCCCTCCTGTGAGCATCCTTTCCCAGCAATGCATTTTTCAGAATGGAGTTGGCAAAGGTTCAACAATCTGAGAAATCGAGTAGAAGTCAGGAGACAATTGCAAGGACATGGAGTGACTCAGCAGTAAGAGGACCTAGATTTGGTTGCTAGCACCCACACTGTGTGTCTCACAACTACCTGTAACTCCAGTTCCCGGGGTTCTGAGGGCATCTGCACACATGTGACACACATATAGTCAAGGAGATATGCACATACACACACACACACACACACACACACAGAGGATGTTTTCCCTTTATTTTTGTAAAAGAAGCAAAAGCAGTAATGCTGAGGAAAAACTCTCAGGAAACCCAACAGACGCAAGGAGATAAACCATGGAGCCGGGAGCTACCAAAGTAGCTAGAAATTGAGAGGGCAACATCTCAGAAATAAGAAACAGATAAAGAAGTAGGCCTGCTATGTTAATTCCTCCCTCAAGACCTCAGTAATAGAAAAGCTGTGAGAAGGAAATGGAGATGGAGCTGAGAGGCTTGGAGCTCAGAAGTGCTGCCAGCCCCAACCAAGAGGTCACTAGGAAGCAGTCAAAGCACCCAGGCTTTCCAGCAGGACCAATGAAAAGCAATACCCTAGGAAGACAGACAGACAGGCAGGCAGGCAGGCAGGCAGAGCCACTCTAAGAGCCTACCCAAAAGAAGAAAATGTCCTAAAGTTTCTACAGTTTTGTGTAAGAAATATCTAGAAGTCAAATATTACTAGGAAGCAAAGAGGAAAGAGAACAACAGAAACAGACCCTCATTTGGTGCCCACACAGACGTAAGAGAAAGAGGCCTTGACTGATAGTCAACTAAATAAGCGACAAAACAACAGACTGACAAAGAAATCTGAACCAATGAAAACAGCCAGATGAAATCCCAGAGCTGAAAGATACTGTAACTAAAATAAAGAATTCAACAAAAAGTTTAACAGTTACGGCAGAGCTGGGAGATATTAAAGTGGGAGACAAACTAGAAGACAGGAGGATAGAACACAGAAAGGTGAAAGAAGAATGGGGAAAGTCTAGTGTGTGTTTAACTAGAATCTAAAGAAATAAAAGAAAATGGGACAGATAAAAATTGATAAGATAATGACCAATAATTTTTCAAATAACGAAATTATCAAGCCACAGCCACAAAAGAAAAGAGAAAAAGACAGGTAAGCAGGCTTGTGCATGCACACAACCATGTACACACACACACACACACACATACACACACACACACACACACACACACACACACACAGAGTGCTCAGTACCCTGAACTTCTGGTCATGGGAAATAGAATGGCCTCTGGGAACAGAGAACAATACGAACTAAATGACCCAGCTCACCATCTTGAGAGTTTCCACAACATGATGCTAAGAGAAGGAACGAAGAAAAAGTTCAGTTCATTCCTACCCTGAAAACATGAAATGTGAGTTTGAGAAAACCAACTAGTAAGTCTTCAGAGACGAGATTTCAGGACAAAGAAAGAACACAAAAGTCTGCCAAGGGTCACCTCAGATATTCAACTCAAACATGAAATAATCCATGGCTAAAGACAAGCATGAAGGAATAGTTCCCCACAGTTGCATGAGCCACTGCACACAGTGGTGCAGGTGCCCTGGAGTACCAGTGCTCCAAGCCAATCTACTGAGATTCTAGGTAACTGAACCAGTTATTAGCATTCCAAACCAAATCTTCTTCCTCCCAAGTTTGAAAAAAAAAAATCAGAATCCCCAAATGCCTATTTTTCGCATCAAAAATTGCCAAGCATAGAAAAAAGCACACAATAAAAACAATGCTATAAAACAAAACCGATCATTTGAAATGTATCAGAAGCTAACAAAGATGTCAGAATTCACGGGCAAAGGTATTAGAAGTGCTTTGTTAGGGTTTGTATTACTGTGATATACAACACCATGACCAAAAGTCACCTGGGGAGATAGGGATTTATTTCAGCTTACACTTGTAGTCCCTTGTCATAGAGAGAAGTCACGACAGTAGCTCAAGACAGGAGTGTGGAGGCCGGAACTGAGGCAGAGACCACCGAGGAATGCTGCTCACTAGCCTGCTCCTCATGGCATGTTCTGCCTGATTCTTTACACAACTCAGGACCATCTCCACAAGGGCAAAATGGGCTGGCCCTCCACATCAATTATTAATCAAAAAAGGCCCAATTTAGTGGGAGCATTTTTTCAATTGAGGTTCTCTTTTTCCAAATGACTCTAGTTCAACAGTTCCCCCACCTGTGATTGACCACTTTAGGATTGAGTGACCCTTTCACTGGGGTCTACTAAAACCACTGGAAAACATGGCTGTTTACATCATGATTCATAATAGTAACAACATCAGCTATGAAGTGCCAACAAAAATAATTTTATGGTCGGGGAGTTATTACAACATGAGGAACTATTCAAGTTGAGAATCACTGCCCTAGCTTGTGTCACACTAACACTAGGCAGCCAGCACAGCTCTCAGAGGGTGTAGAAATGGCTTGGTTGGTAAAATACCTGCTGTGCAAACATGAAAGCAAGAGTTTGATCACCAGAATCCACATGAGAAAGCCTGATATAAGGGCACATGCATGGAATCCCAGGGCTTGGAAGGTAGACACAAAAACATCTCTGGGGGCCGCTGGCTAAGCATTGTATACAAATCAGTGAGCTACAAATTCAATGAAACAAAAAAAAAAAAATCTCAGAAAACAAAGTGGAAAGCAATCAAAGAAGAAACCTGCCATTAACCTCTGGTTACACGCATGTGAGCACACACACAAATACACATATACTCAGAGTGCTCTCATAACTATATTACTTTCCCCCCCCACACACACACAGAAGTAAACAAATTTAACAATGTCAATTAGCAGCATGATAATAGGCACAAGCAAAACCAAAAACCCAGTCTCTGAGACCAAAATACAGCAGTTGGTGTAAGAAACAGATCAAACCTACAGAAAAAAAAAGAAAAAAAAATAAAAGGCTGAGACGAGTGAAACATAACAAAAATCCAAAGCCAAACACAAAGATAAAGGAGTGTAAAACAGAGTCAGCCTGGAGCTACAGGCAATCTGCAAATAACTGAAACCCTGAAAAGGGTAACACAAGTAGAAGATAAAAATATTTGAAGAAATTAACAGCAAAATCTCTCCAAGATATATGAAACGTATAACTAAAGACCAAGAAAACGGCATGTCATAATCAGTGGTTAAAAAAAAAACCTTAAACGCACATTTTTAAAAATCACTTGACAGAGGAGTCGTTTATATATTATTTCTCAAAAACAATGCAAGTGGGGCTAATAAGCCAACTCAGTGTGACTAAGAGTACCTGCCACCATCCTGACAACTTGTGTCCAGTCCTGGAAGTCCGCATGATGTAAGGAAAGAACCCTTCCCTGCAAATTGTTCTCTGACTTCCACATCCACTATGTACATGGCATGTCTTCACCCACACAGAGGAAAAATCTACTCAAGTGGAGCCAAAACCACATCATCTTTGAATATTAATATATTTGAAAAGTAACTTCAGGGGCTGGAGGGATGGCTCAGTGGCTTAGAGCATTTGCTCCTCCTGCAGAAGACCCAGGCTCATTCCCTGCATCCCACAAGGTGGTTCACAACCATTAGTAACTCCAGTTCTAGGGAATACACAGACATTCGGGAAAAATATTCATACACATAAAAAAAAATAAGGCTCAAAAGTAATTTCAGAAAATATATACTTACCCTCTCCCAAAAGAAAAACCAGTCAGACTCTGAACACGGCAAGTTATTAACACAAAGTTTAAATTTTCAACGATTTTAAGACTATTTTACAATCTTAATAACTAACTAAAATCAACAAATAAACCAAGAAAAAAAGTACAATACCTAATTTTGTCTTAAGGGTCTTTACATTCTCAAGTTCTTGCTCCAATTCCATTACGTTGTATTCAACTGATGAAGACAGCCCTGTTAAAGCAAAAGCAGTCTTAAGTGTAGCAGTGGGAACCTTGGAGACCAGGCAGAGCAGTTACAATACAAAACACGTGGTGCTCACTGAGAGCCAGGAGGAACAGACGCTGTAGTGAATCATGTAGAAACTAACTATTTAGAGCAGCGGTTTTCAACCTGTAGGTCACAACCCCACTGGGGGTTAGATGACTCTTTCACAGGGGATATGTATCAGGTTATCTTGTATATCAGATATTCACATTGTGATTCATGACAATAGTTAAATTACAGTCATGAGGTGGTTGGTGTCACCACAACAAGAGGAAGTGTATCAAAGGGTCACAGCATTAGGAAGGTTGAAGACCACTGCTCAAGAGGATCCATGCTCTTGATGACTGAAGATCGTGTTTTTTAGGAAATGTCTTCCCTTACTCTCTATTGCTTCTTTTTCATGTGCTCACCATACCAAGTAGAAGGAATCAAGACCTTCTGCTCTCCAGTTTGCTTCCCTACGATGACAATTATCACCAGTGTGGCTGGTGCTTCTACAGCTGTCCTCACATTCATACTTGACTTCTGTCTCACATATGGGTTTTCTCTCTCATGCAAATTCTTATACGACTATCAAGCCAGACATATTAGTTGACTGTTTGCTGCTGCCTGTCAGTAACTATTTCCTAACAGCTGAGTGTGCAAGCCACAGTCTGGATTAAAACAGCCTAACTCAGTATTACTATTCCATTTGTCAATATTCTAGTGAACATTAGCATATCCAATTCACTTGCTTCTACGATTTCTGTAAAATACATTGCCAAACTTTAGAATAGTGGGCCATTACAGGTTTAGGAACTTTTTAAAGTTTACATTCTCCAAATGTTTTTATGTACCATGATAATTCAAGTTATTGCAAGTCTGACTACTATCAATAGCTTTTGAAAAGTCCTGTTTACATATCATCGTTAGCACTGGGTGTGACCAACTGTTGAATTTTTGCCAAAGTGATGGGCTACTTAAATGTACATTTTCTTAAATGCAACAGATCACATCTCCTGTTTCTCGTGTGGATTTCCTTCAGTCCTGCTTTCTGCTTGCTTCTGCAACGGTCTATGTGCAACATCTTCCTCTTCTTTCTGCTTGATCGCTTCAATTCTGAAACAGGTGAATTGAAACCCCCAGACACAAGCATGCCAGGTTAGGATTCCTTCATTGTTAAGGGATGGGTTTCATTATGGATGTGTATTTGGCTGCTGAGTGTCCCCCTTATTAAATCTCTAAGACTGATAGTTACAAGTAATATACAACATACATTTTATCATTTCATAATGACCATTTTCTTAAATTATGTTTTGAGAACGTTTACATTTTCATTCCTTTTTGGGTTTTACTTGTCACAAATGTGCATGTGTTTCACTGAAATCATCACCTAGCTAAATCTTATTTCAAGTTTCATCTCTATCAGTTAAGAAGTCATTGGTGACAGCAAGTGAACCTGACTCCCTAGTTTATAAAGTAAGCAATTCACAGAACAGGCTAACAGAAAACTCTCCAGTAAAGGTTAGTCCTGGATCCATGCGTATACAAGCAAAACTAAGTGGACTCAGTAGGTCATATATGCATTTGTACATATGAGTGTATTTACATGTAATAATAATAATTACAGAGATCATGAATTTGGCAGGATGGAACAGTTAGAGAGGAGATAGAAAGGGCCAGTGATGCAGATGCAATGATCATGTCTAAAATTCTCAAAAGAAATAAATAAAACAATGAATAAAAGCAGCACATATACAAGCAAGTGGAAAATCACAGGCAGCTGGAAGCCTCAGTGTCAGGAACTCTATCCCAGCAGTATGAAGATCAGAGAGAGCCCTGAATGAATGAAGTCCTGAGTGTGTGCTTTTGATATGGTCAGGGCCATGTGAAGAACTGCAAAGCCTCAGACCCATGGGCAAATGAATGGCAAGGCCTTCTTTCCTGGTCCAAGTGCAACTGTTGTTTACGAGTGCACAAAATGTCCACCTTAGCTTTCTTCCCAGGATTCTGTATGGCCTGAAGACTGCTCATCTACAGAGACTGCTCCTACTCAGATTAACTAAGCCTACCTCTTTGTTCGGCTATCCGCAATAACCTTGTCTCCCTATCCAATGCATTATACTTTCTGTGCTTTGGTTTTCCCATCAGAGAGCCCAATCCAACTGAATCCAGCTTCTTTCTGGGTCTGTCTTTTCTTCACTGAGACTTAGAAATAATAGGTGAGAATGACAAGAAAAGTAAGCCAGAAGAGGTAAGAATGTTAGAGACCCCTTCAGTAAGGTCTGTCTCTGGAGCCAGCACAGCAGGAAGAGGTCAACCCAATCGTCAGGGCCTTAAGTCACTAGACTCAGAATGAAAGCATGGGAATGCTCCCTACTTCTTCTAGGAAAGGAAAGATGCAGAGCTTTGGCTTTATCAGAGAAAAGACAAAGAGGGCCTGCCACAAGATGACGTGCTAAGTAGCCCACCCTCATTCATTTGTCTTTACAGCCAGTTTATCCTAATTACATTCAGTAAAATATAGTATCAGCATTCAGAATAACTCAGAACATCAACTTTCCACACTATTTGTCTTGGTCTTCAGTGACTTTTAAGTCTTACCCTTAGCAAAATAAAGTGTGCACAAAGCCGAGTGCCCTAACCCTTGGACTTGTTTCAATGCCTGCTTCTCCCTGATACTACCTCATCATGAGGTGCTTTACAGATAACTCACACCTCAAGGTATCCACGAAGCAGAGAGTGGAGAAGGACCTGCCTCCAGCTTCTGGATGCTAAGATGCACCTTCCAATGTAGTGGTTCTTAACCTGTGGTCATCTAACACCATCGGAAAACATATTTATATTACAATTCATAAAAGTAGCAAAATTACAGTTATGAAGTAACAATGGAAATAATTTTATGGTTGGGGAGTCACTCCAACATGAGGAACACATTAGGAAGGTTGAGACCCACTGTGCAAAATAGCACCACAAGCTGGAGATAAGCCTTTAAGCCTACAGCTGCAGCACTGCTTTTACGAAGTCTGTAGCAACTCTCTGTTTTATCCTAGGAATGTCTGCCACTGTAAACTGTTCTCAGTGTTCTTGCTGTGAATACATGTCTGTGCAGTGACATATCCACTGGGCACAGGTGAGCATTTTCGATCCCCAAATTCACATTTCAGATCAGAACAATTTCTTGATCCTTTTTTTTCCCCACCATATTCTCTCTTGTAATCCTGTGTGGAAGAGGTGTTAGCTAGAGGCTCGCTCTACTGGTCTGAAACATTATCTCTTACACTTTACTTATTGTCATTCTGGTTTATTTTCTTATTTCTAAGCTTCAAGAATTCTTTCTGTTAACTGGATGTCCCAGATGGTGGAGCCTTGGTCTTTCTCATGAAAGTCGCCTTTTTGTCCATACAGGGCACGAGGGGTTCATCTTTAGCCATTCTTCCACGCACCCCACAACTACATGCCTACATCTGCTCGTGTTCACACAAGAGGCTTTCTTCAGTCGCCAGAGTTTTGATTGTGTTCTTGTGTCTTAAGAATGAAGCCATGAGGAATAAATGCCACTTTGAGCTTCAGGCTTCTGGAGGATCTTGACAAGATGTGCCTCACTCCTAACAAGACAGTGACTCCCTACTTCGAGAGCTGCAGAGCTTTCCTCTTAGGCTGGGCACGTTCCTGAGGAAAACCTTCCTGACTTCCTTCTCAAATTCAAGTTCAGCTATGCAAATGAAGAATGACAGAATCTACGTATTTTGTCTGCAAGCGCTCCTGCCCTACCAGGCCAGAGACACTCTGTTTTACACAAAGTAATTTTTACTCTTCTTCTAAGATGGACAAGAGGGAAGTGTCTGGTACCTTGGATGGAAGCAAATAATATAGTGATTAAGTCACTTCATGACAGCTTTTTAACAAGCCCTCAATTTCTTAGTTCGTGCTACCTATCTGGTAGTGACCCTTGTGACTTTGGGGATTCTGAAGTATAAAGCAAGTATAGATGACTTAGGATTAGACTCCTTTTGTTCTATTAAACTGGCTAATGCCAACATTTTCTTGTCTGCTAAATTCTAAATTATTATTGTGGTCTTCCCCTGAAATTTTCTGACCTTCTAGGTTTATGATTCTCCCTGTTCTCACCCATGGGAAGGCATGGACCTATCAGGATGCTTTCCTCTAAGTCACAAGACTCAAAGTAGCTTAAAAAATAAGGAAATAGTTTCACATAACTGAAAGTTAGGAGACAAAGCCAGAGTAAGCGTCCATGTGGTTTTCCTGCAGCTCAACAGTGACATCAAGGGACTAAACTGTGTCTCCCACACACTAGATTGATGTGTAAGGATGGAGGCTTTCCCTCTACACAGGGCAAATGTGTGGACTATTTATTTGCCTTGATTTCTTCTTTTCCTTCGTTCCTCAGCTACACGGCATTTTGATAAACCTTTCCCCGATTCACTGGGTATTCCAGTGCTTACCTTCTCACTTGTACTACTCCTACTAAGGAAGAGTTTCACTGTAGTAATCGGTATAAACAACCTTAACCTACAGCCTGCTCTTCTGTACAGCATTCTGTGTCGTGGTGAGACTTACAACCACATGACCTAACCATTTCCTCACTGCTCCTCACCCCTTCCTCCAAATCTTCATCTTGCTAAAATATTATTTGAAGACCAATGCTGCATTCTTCCTCCCGTGTGATACTAAGACGAGTGTCTGGTGTCAATGCAGGTGTTAGTGCAGATGTAAAAGGAATACACCAAGATTGGCTTGGTTTTTTTTTTTTTTTTTTGGCCCTAATCATTAAGTAATATCTTAGGGAGTGTGTGTGTGTAACTTTACAACTGCAAGCTGCAGATGATAAGTCTGACACTGAACTCTTTCTTAAAAATAATTTTTCATACAATATATTCTGATCACAATTTCTTCTGCCCCAGATCCTTCCCACTTCCCTTACCTTCCCAATTCTACACTTTCTTTCCTTTCTTTTTGTCTCTCTT